CACTTTTATGCTGTGCGCAGAGGAAGAGGCTGCACCATTTTAATGGTGCTCTAAAAGTCAAAGTGATAATACTTCCTGATATTATTATATTGATAGTTATTTTATTGCCTTTGGATTCCCAGGTGATGCTACGCCAGCCCTAATTTATAAAGGCATTTTTCACTACTTAGTTTCTTAATGACATTAGGGTAATATTTCTCAGCCTTGTTGAAAGGGACGTTTTTCTTTGGCTTATCTGCTCTTGCTTTGGGCTCTTTCACTGCCTCTGAATGGGCAGTAGCTCCATCCCCAAGACAGAGTTGTACTGATGCCCTGCCTTGGAGGAGATGAATTGCTAACAAGAAGGCAGGTAAACAGTTGTTGGTAAACAGTTTTAAGGCTAGCCTAAACATTTGCTGCCAGTAATTAGTCTCTTCTTGCTCAGGCAACTGGGGGAGGCTGAGCTTGTGCCAGCTCGTGGGGAACTGCTGACTGCTGTGTCTCGTGCTTTATGGCTCCCTGAGGGTTCTGGTGCACAATGTGAGAAACCAGGCCTGTGCTAAAGGTAAAAACCAGGTGTGTGGGGTATGTTAGATGCATGAGATGTGTGAGAAAGAAGACAGGCAGAGGAAGGGTGAAAAGATAAAACAGAAAGGCAAGCGGCGCTGAAGTCAAGTGAGTTTGACAGTGGAAAGGAGATAAGAGCAGGGGAGGGCAGAATCAGGGAGAATCTGGAGAGCAAGCAAATATAATGAACAAGGAGCAGCTAAGTCAGTGGAGTAAAAATGGCATGTGTTCATTTTAGCATAAGCATGAGGTGGCTGAAATTTTAGGGTCTGTCTCGTGCTCCACTGCTGCTGTTCTCTGCTGTTTCGGACACTTCACTGATATGATTCCATCAGCTTGTGAACATTCTTTAAGATTTAACGTTACTTGAATAGTAACACTGTTTGATTTCACATTTTAAAAAATCCTGATTATGTAGGCCAGGGTCTAATACCATTCAAGTCAATACATAGTACTGGCTTGAATAAAAAGAGGGGAGGGGAATCCTCCCCCATATTAATAATCATGAATTACACATCAGAGCTTTCTGCAAAGCTGGGTTTTTTTTTCCCCCCCGTTTTTGATTTTCTGCCTTTGCTGTCCTACAGAGTTCCCAAAAATTCTAATTTAGTTTGGTATAGTCCCCAACTGGAAAGTGAGTAACTGGGAGATAGTTGCAAATTGGTTATAATAAAAATACATAATCTGTTACTGCTCTGGAACACTTCATAATTTGTTTCATTTTGTTTTGATTTGTATGTTACTGTCTTTTAGTAGTAAAACTGAAAATGAAGCCCCAAACAACAGGTGATGACAACACTAATGTGTAAAGGGATTATTGTTAAGTGCGTGGAAAGAGTGGTGTACAATTCCAGAGGCAGAGAGTGCTTTGTTTCAAAATTGTTCCCTCATGGTTATTACAGGACTAGCGGTTTAAAAAACAACAGGTCCATTTCACCTTGGAGTTGAGAAACTAAATTCTCAAACTCCCATTGCCATTCGTAGGTATTGTGCCTTCTTTACAGCTGAAATTATTTTGGTTTGATGTGACTTATCGGGGAGGACAAACAGCAAAGAGATGCTCTAGTTGAGATCTGGTGTCTTGTTGTCATCTTTAAGCATTACAGATATTTAGTAATAGGATTCTAAATCAAGCATAAAGAGAGTTAAGTGGTTTGGACAGTTTGTAAAGTACATTTGCAGATGAGAAAACCTCTTTCCTGGGCCACGGTTGAACACCATTTGCATTGTCTTCCCCTCCCACCTGGTTTCCTCGGCTGGTATGAGGTGATTCCTGTCAGGTGCTAAGCAGGCAGCTCCACTGAGATACTTTCTCTGCGTTTATCCCAGCGTAGTCACAGCATTGCTGAGTGCACTGGCACAACTAATGACAGGCATTATCTTTTATCATTGCCTGTGAGTTCACATACTCTGTTTATTGCAGTAGAGTCATGGAGATAGCTAATTAGCTCCAGGGTGTGTGAGTAATGCTGTAAGGAGAGCTCTGCACTGACAATGAACCCTGTTTCACTGGCTGCTGAGGAGACACTGGAATCCAGCAGGGTACCAGTCCCTTCCCAGGCCAGCCCACCCTCTAACACACCAGACCTTGCTGAAAGCTGGAGCCCAAATGTCTCTGTTGGTGCAAAGTGTGAGCTGATGTAGGTGGAAGCTGGTGATATGTGCGTGATAATTATGCTGTGTCAAGTCTCATTTTAAAGACCATAAGTATACCTTTTTAAAAGAAAAACAAACTACTTCGCCAGCCTAGAGAGAAGCATAAATCATGTATTTTTGTCACCTCCAAAGACCACTGGAAGATGAGCTTTAATATTTCAAATGTGACAAGCAATCCATACGCATGAATCACAATTTGAGCTCCATTACAGCTGAACTGATATATAGCACTGTGTGCTTTATGGGTTTTACTCTAACAATATTAAGTAAAAACGCAAAGCTTTTTGTGATGAATACCTAACCTTTTACAAGTATTTGTAGCACTGTGGTCCAGAGCAACAGATTTAGTGTTGCCCTACAGGCTTTAATAAGAAAATTCTGTTGCCAGTTTTGACCTCTCAATATTGTTCTCTCTAAAGAAAATGCATGTATTAGTGGAAGGCTAATACTGCAAAGGTAAAAGAAAATCTGAAATGCTGAAAGGGTTTATGGAAAATGTAACCCTTAAAGATTGCAAAGACAGTTAAATAAATGAACAAAGTTTGAAGAGACATCTTTTTTTTTTTTTTTTCTTCCTTTGTTAGTCTCAGACTTTTTCTTCCTGGGCTCTGGAATTTCTGCAGCAACTCAGTGCCAGTTAGTTTTGCTCAATTCTTCTATTTATAGTCAAGTCATCACTTGAAGTCGTTAGTCTCCTTTTGAGATATTCTCTCATGGCAGTATTTTCATATAGGTAGTGAATTTTCTTTTTATCTCTGGGTATTCTCATATTTTTTGTTGCAGCAACCTGGGCCATTTTTGCAATGAATCTAAGTTCAAATTCCTTCACCTTTGAGACTTTTAATCCTCTCACTTCCCCTTGAGGGAATACAGAAAAGTGTAGTGAGGGAACAGGAGATGAAGGGTAGTGCATAAGGTTAATTTTCAGGTGAATTGGTTGCTGTTTTGACATTCTTGCTTTCTTTGCAGGTCTCTTTTCATTCCTTTTCCTTTTATGCTAGAAAATTATTAGATATGCAAGAGCAAAACTCCTCAAAGCTACGCTCCAAAAGCCTATTAAAAATAGTCTGCAAGCAGATCAGTGTGAACACACGTCAACACCTGAGAGTTTCCCAAGTGGCTCTTGCACTCAGTGGTGTGATAACATGACATGTGGGAGGATTTTTCCTGGCTTTTATCTTTCATATATTGATGCTCCTGACTTTTTAAAATTCATTTTATCAAGTGGCACTGCAACTGAAACAACAGAAATGCAAGAATGAGATAGTTTGAGGTGTTTGCAGTGGTATACAAAGTATTTTGCCTCCAGGCCATAATTTCTGATTCATCCCAAGTTGGCAGCAGTCAGAAATTGCTGCCAGCTGTTTGCTGGCCAGCACGAAGATATTTAGCTGGTAGCTGCTGCTGGACAGATGTCTGTAATGTGGAAAGTGTGAGTGTAGCTGGCATGTGTTTCATTTTCAGAGCCTGGAAAATGGGGGTGTATCTCAACTGCAGCTGCTTCAGTTTAGGAAGGTTAAACAAGACGCCTGATTTTAGGTAACCAAGAACTCAGCATGTGCACAATTAAATTCCCTCCCCCCATTCTGGGGCAGAATGCTGATGTTTTGGTGTTCCCAAAAGCATTGTGTGGAGGGAGAAGGGGTACTGTAGATGGCTGTGCAGAAGGGTGTGATAGGAGGCTGCACTGTGGGGTGACCTCTCCTCGAGCTGAGGAGGTTCTTCAGCTGTGCTGTCAGTTGATACCTTTCCAGAGTGTGAGCAATCAATAACAAAAAGAAACTAATAGGAGGAAAAATGTCTCTGATTCATCTTTCTTTGTGTTGGACATATGTAACACTAGAATTAAATATTTTGAAAACCATGAATTACTTCATGTAAAATCTGCGCTGCTAAGCAGAAAATCTATCCTGCTGAGAAAAAAAATAAAGAAAATTCTTCAGTATAATGTCTGGTTTTGTAAAAAGGAAGGGAGAAGATTTTACAGTTTACAGTATGACAGAGCTTTGGGATATTTAAACAGGCAGTAAAGGAGAGGTTTGACTCACTATTGGGAAAACAGTTTTGGGTTTTGGATTTGCAGCAGCAATAGAGATTGCTTAAGTTGAGACATGAGGTCAAGCTTTTGCTGCTCCTTGATAATGTGGGGTTTTTTTGCTTTGATGTGATGCAAACCATAAAATGGGCTTAGGTGACTGGTTCAGTCTTCTCCTTGTGTGACATGTGGAGCTGGCAGAGAGCCCTGGCCAGTAACTCCTGCAGCAGAACCGTGTGTCCAGGTTCTGTGCATTGCCAGAGCATTGCCAGAGCACTTGGGTGAGTCTGGAGGTGTGGAGAACTCACTGTTCAGCTGGGCAGCGGAATCTGTTCCTGCGCTGTCCTGGCAAACCTTGTGTGGCATATCTGACCAGCAATTCAACTGAGCCCAGGCTGTGTGGATTACTGTGCCCGTAAGACTTAGGATTTTCAGTATTGCATACTTTGACACTATTTTATGTGTTTGAAAACTGCATCAGTTTTTGGTTTTTAACATTGGAAAAAAACCCCAAATGTGTGTTACTTTTCCAGAATTAAAAAAAGAAATAATGTTTCATGAAGAACAGTGGGAAGGAACACATTGCTGTGATACAGGAGTTTTAGCTCTATTTTAAGGAATGTTTTTTTACTGAATTTGTCTTGTTTTTTAGTACTAGTGTTTAAACAGATTGCCTTTGGAGTTGTAAATGGAATTTATTTTCTGTAGTGTCGTGTTATTCATTTCACTAAGTCCAAGTTCCCTGTGTGGTTCTTCCCTGCAGACATTGATGAGTGTGCTGCCAAGATGCACTATTGCCACGCCAACACTGTGTGTGTCAACCTGCCTGGGTCCTACCGCTGCGACTGCGTCACGGGGTACGTGCGCGTGGATGACTTCTCCTGCACAGGTGAGCTCTCAGCTGCAGCACTGCCACACTTGCCTTCTGTCTAGCCCCAAATGCCACTCAGCAGCTGGCCCTTTGCCAGGATGAAGTTTAGGCACAGGTAGGGTGGATAAATGTGGTAGGAAGTGCCTTGGGGTTAGCTTGGAAGGTGGCTGAGGAAGGCCACTGAGGGCTCTTGCCAGCCAAGACACAGTCCCTTTGTGTCCCATATCTGCCTTCTGTGTGAGGTGCAGAGGCTGAGATCACGTGTGTTGTGAGAAGAAATAAGACTTCATCAGCTGAAACTGGTCAGTGGATTGAAAGATGAGAAGTTACCCAGGAGGAGAAGCTTTCTGGACAGAGCCGAGACAAACATGCAAAAGGAAACTGAAATGTATGAAGTTCTTAAATCCAGTTATTGTTAGGTGGTTTGGAAATTGTTGTTAATGCTGAGAATTAATGTCTCAAGAGCTATGACATGTTGTTTAGAAAAGACAGCAAGTGGATAGCATTAGACAATCTACCTGGTTTTTTTAAAGATATCTATCTGCCAAATGAGGTCTAAAAATTCCTAGTGGAAAGTAGGTAGGACCTCATTTCCATTTAGAGGTTTTTAAGAGACCGTCTCTGGCAGTCTCAGAAAAATGTGAGAAGCTGCTGAACTGCTCATCCCAACTCCATCTAGCTGAATAACATCTTTCAATGACAATGCTTCAGAAAGTCTTGATTTTGGGATTATTTTGATGGTACACCTGTCATGCAAAGGAGGAAAATATTAGGTAGGTTTATTGAAATGGATATAAATCAGCTTGACACATGTTTAGAATGGTGTTGGGTGAGCTGTTCTCTGAAGTGGAAAGATGGCACAGGAATATTCAATATCGGAATGATTTTCAGCCTGGAATAACTACATTGTAATGCGTGTTATCCTTAGGGAAGGTCATAGGAAATGTTGACTTTCATGATGACAGCATGTCTTTCAGCTAATATTATATACTTTATAAAACTGTAGGAAAGACCTGCCCACCTCTTGAGAGATACTGATACTAAATAGCTGTCGAGAAGCTGATTTTTATTTTGCCCAAAGAGTTATTATTTCTGTGTAACCTGTCTCTCTTCACTTTTTCTTGATCTTTTACAATGTGACATGACAGATTCAGACCTTAAATTCTGTGCTGTGTGAGGTATCAACCTTCACAGTGATGGGGAGAGTGATTTTAATAATCTGACTCTTTCTCTTCCATATATGCTCTACTAATTTCCTAATGTGCCTTTCTTTCCAGCAAGGCACTATCATTAGGCATGCAAAGGGTATAGACAGCAAGGCATTTGTGATACACCGAGAAAGTGTGAAGTAGCAAGACAAGTTGCTTGACAGTAATGAGGGAACATTCACTTAAAGAGCATGCACACAAAGAATCCAGAGCAGATAAAAGAACAAATAATGAAACGCGAGAGACAACTATTTCTTGCAGGTTTAGTGTCTTGCAAAAATCACTGCATTTTTGACATTGTCATTAAAAAGCAGAGCAAGTGCATTACATAGATCAGGAGAAACTTGGTTCATTGCTTGATGTATTTATAAATAAATGTTTGTTATAATATTAAATGTAATTAAGTACTGTGCAATAGAAGCACTAATCCTGTCTTTGTATTTTGCATTATGCTTAAACTATGCTTAGACTTCTAGCAGTAATACTAATGATTAAAAAAATAGGCAGCAAATACTTAAGTAATTACCCCTTACACTGACAACAAATGTTTAGCAGGAACCATAGACTGTAGCTATTACTCAGGTCTTTAAAATTTTGTTACTCTTTGTTCCAACCAAATGGATGAGAAATTTTCTTGCTATTGAACCATGCATTTGGAGACAAATCTGAAAGCCTGAGATGGGTTGGTTTTTTGATTAAAACTGTGTGTGTGTGGGGTAAGGCTCAGATGGGTTCAGGATAAAGATGAAGTTTCAGATATAAGTGCTTTAGGCACATGCATGGCATTGCGTGTGTTTTGTACGCTGCTGAGCCTAAAGCAGAGTTTCTCCATGGAGCAGGAGATATCTTGTTTTGGGAAGCCTGAGTCTGGTTCATCAAGGTATAAAGTCATTTGCAGTTGAGCAGATTCTGTGTGTTGCTGGGCTGGTATATGCTTGGTGGCTGATCCCCAGCTCTTGTAGCTTTCAAAAGGTGGAAAGGATGTGGAAGGTGTAAATCTGTATGTGGAAGGTGTAAATCAGAAACAATTTTTAAGCAGAAAGAAATGTTTCCATTTGATATTGAAGGGGTTTTATCTTTATAAAAGGAAATTGAGTGATTGCTGAAATGCTATGTCAATTTGAATTGAGCAAAATAAAATTCATTTGGATATTGCTGAATTTTAAATATGCTGCTTCCAGTATTTTCTTTAAAACACTGGATCTTAGTGAAATTGAACTAATTTGTACAGTTTTGATGTTGCTGAAAGTTTTTTTCCCAAAACAATTTTTGGATAATAGTTTCCAACTGTGAAGTAGGAACTTCTGTGGTTGTCAATAAGAAGCTGCTGTGTTGGAAGATGTGCTGATTGCATAGAAAATGCAGTCATATGGACAGAGTGACTAAAACATTATTCTGGATGAAGTCTACAGATATATTACACTCTCACCTATGACTTAAAATCAAGTACTGACTATTTTAATAAATAATCAGTGTTCAGTCTCACATAAGCAAGACCTGGGATGATGAGACAGATTAGTCAGCCTCATAGTAATAACTTCAACCTGTGTTCACCAAGAAAGGTACATTAGTGGTTTTCTGCTTACCTGTTCCTAGGGCTTTGTGCACTGAATTTTAATTAACTTGTTGAGTGAAAGATGGTTTTATTAAGAAAAGTTACCCTGGAATAGGAGCCTGCTTTTCAGTCTCTTCCTGGGACACTGACAGGTTGTTTATCTGTTCTCTAGTAAATCACAGTCCTGTCCATTCTGAAACTGGCAGCAAGATTTGCTGCTCCAGATGTTCTCATTTGCTGGAATCTACTGATTTGTAGCATTTGATTGATTCTCACATGTTTTTACCCTGGTTGCTTGTTGAAAAATAAGTTCTCTTGTGTTGCTTTATTCTAACATAGCAGTTTGGGAAGCAGTTTGCTTCAGAAGTGCATTATTTCATTTTATGCTTTTAAAAGCCTTAATAATTGCTCAATAAGAATATAATACTTTTATTTTTGATGGGCTTCATCTGTCCTCTGATATGATGTTAAAAATTCATGCACATGATTTTCTGTAGTTTGAAACTAGAATATATAGTTCTTATATCTCACTGCCATTCAATCAAGTATGCTAATGATTTTTCATCTTAATAAGCTATAAGTTACCTGTAATGACCTCATATATCATGCTGCTAGGAAGAGAAAACAATGTGGGTAGGTTTCATCTCGCTTGGCATAATGTTGGCATTTTCTACAAAGACAATCACAATGATCACAAAAAAGTTTCCTGGCCTTTAACAGCTACGACAGCCATTTAAAATATAATGACTAATTTTGCAATTTTCTCCTTGCATCTGCATGGAACACCAAAAACTTCCTCAAATCCTGCAGTCATTCAAAGTATAAGTTTCATTTCATGTGGTCACTACTGGGCTTGAACACTGTATTTTGTTTCATTTGGGGCTTTCTTGTTTGCTTGTGTTTGTTTTTTTTCTTTTTCATTTTTTAAATTTATTATGAATATTCACTGACTATGTAATAAAGCTTAAAGACTTTTTCAAATGAGAGTGCCAGGAGACTTTTCATTCTCTATTTCCATGTGTTATTCATGGCCATTCTTCTAAATGAAGAAGCCTCCTTTGGACTTGAGAATGTCTCAGCTAATTTTGTCCAAGTTTTATCGTTTCAAGAAGTAGCATGGAAAGTTGTCTGGCCATCCAGCATGTCAGTAGTACCCATTCTGTCAAAATGGGGTGAGACCTGTGCGAGCATCCTCCTCTTCATGCACCAAAGCTATGCTGTCTCTTTGAAAATAATCCACCTCCATAATTTACTGGTCTACATGATACTTCAATAGTGGACTGTGCTTTAACCCTCTTTCAGTCCTGATTTGCTGTGATAATATTTCCAGGATTTTTTTAACCTTTGGTTTCTCAAAACAATGAGTCACTAAAATATTAGTGTGTTACTTGCAAAAAGTAAGTTTCTATCTACCACAGAAACAGGAAGTATTTTCAAAACACATAGTTCAGTATTCTAATTCTGTGAAAAAATAGATGTTACGTAGAAATATATAATTTAGAAGTCTTAGAATGGAAGTATATTATTTAGAAGAAGTCTTATAATATAAATCTTAGTCTTGAGTTTATGTTCTAATTTGATTTACAGTATTGGTAGAGAAGAGGAAGTAAGAAAAGCTCATGATTTTGACTGGTTATCCCATAAGTCACTTCACTTCCATCCTGTGTGGTTTCTGGGGCAGCATTCAGTTTTGAATGTACTGCACTTTTCAGAACAAGCCCTTCTCCAGCACGTTATTAGAAAAGTTGTGCTTAAAGCGTAGAAGAATGTAAGAGTTCTGAGACATCTCATTTTCAAGGGAAAAAATCAGAAACCCTTTCTCCTGCTCTTCCCTTCTTCCCCTCCCCTATCTGTGAAAGGCAGCTCAACCGCAGAAAATCCCTGCTGTGGTTAGAACAAATGTTCAAATTGTTTGTTATTACTAAAATTGATGCCTTTGTATTTTTGTTGCTGGGCTTTACCTGTCAGGTTCAAGGTGGTGTGGTTGACTCCGTAACAATACTAATAATGCAGCAAGTTTTACTATAGTGAAGTGGCAATCTCAAAGGGCAGGTTACTGGCCTCACATCCCGAATCAATGTGTGTGTTTGTAAAAGACCTGAATGAAAGCCTTTAGGTAGGCAATTGATAATGTGGTCACTCTTTGAAAAGATAGCACTGTTTTCTGAAATCTAATCTAGTGACCTTCTTTTCCACTATTTCTTCTTTGTGAACTAAATTTGCATTCCAGAAAGGAACATTGTTATTTTTGGTGT